TTTTTTTTTTTTTTTCTCCAAAGGAATCCATGCATGTGGATTAGAAATTTCTGCTGGCTACACTGGCTGAATGTGGAAAATCACTGATTTTTCAAAAATGAATCCTGACTGACATTAATTGCAAACTCCTTTTTGAGGGCAGTATAGGAGTTACGATTTTATTTATTTTTCATGTTTTACTTGTTTATGTCCATCAATGTGCCTCGAATCTTTTAAAAAATATATCACATCCCTAAATGGCAGGTTCCGTAGTTTTTTCTTCCTTTTGATCAAATAGTTTTGCTAGACAGAAAAGAATCTACACCGTAATTGCCTTACTTAACAGCTACTGTAATTCGTTGGGTTTGATTGCTTTTCACTCGGGCAGTTAAGAAGACATGGGCTGTTTTCTGTGTCGGTTTTCTCTTAAGTCTGTGTATCTGGGTGTGTATCCGTGCACGTGCGTGTGTGCAAGTGTGTGTTGTGTGTGTGTGTATGTGTGTGCAGGGTTGACCTGTAGGCTTATGGCTTTTGGAACATTGTCTTAATTTCGTAGTGAACAGAATTCGGTAATTAGCATCACTAAAAATGTACCCGATTTTTCCTCCTTAGTCACGGACACCTGATGTGTCTGAGGAGTCCTCGTTCAACCTGTGAGATGGCGCCGGGTTTCAAAGCTAAGGGGCCCAGAGGGCGGCGGCCGAGCCCTGAGCTCACTGCGGAGCAAGGCCTAGGCCTTCCTGCCGGGCACACTGGGGATGCTGGGCGCCACAGGCCTGCGCCCGCTCCTAGGGGGCACACGGGCTCTTCTTTCTCTCCAGTGTGCCTGGACTCAGTGGTCACAACTGAAGGAGTATCGGATTTTTTTTTAAACCTATGTATGGGCTGGGTCTGGACGATGGCTACTTTTGCGCTCGTGCCTTCTAGGTGCTGTGTGTGTGTCCCGTGGTACTGAAGATCAGCCACGTGTCTCGGACAGGCTGTAGGAAGCAATGGGAAGTTTGGCTTTTTCGGTTTTGTCTTCAGATAATGAAAAGCTTTTGTAAAACAGCTGAGTGTCAGATATGAGTTCTATGGCTTCAATCTCCTTTAAACATAAAATTCTTTAGGTTCCGAAACAAAGGAGAGGGGGGCAAATTAAAAAAAAGTAAAAGAAAAGAAGGAAAACCAAACCAAAAGAAAAAGAAAAAAATTGCTGATATTGCCACAAATCATTAGAAATCTCCTGACATGCTGAAACCAAATGGCCATAAGTTCAAAACAAATCAGTGACTTGTTTTCAATTTTTTGTGGTTTCCTTTTGTTCCTTCTGCCCCTTTGCCGTCCGATTGGTGATGTTATTCAAACAGGACCGAATCCCTGCTAAGTGCAGGAGCGACCCAGCTGCCTCTTTCATCTCCTCATCGTCACTCTCTGGGGGCTTTTCTGTGCGTCTCTTTTTGAGGGGCAGCGTGTCGCTGGGGACCTTCCTGGCCTTGGCGAAGTGCTGGCGCTTCTTGTGCTGGGAGGCGTACCCGCTGTCCCCCAGGGCATCCTTGGCCTCCTTTGGGCTGGGCTTCCTGTCATCCTCTTCCGTTTCACTGTGGCTCTCATGGCTGTGGAAGCTCCCCTCACTGCCTTCGCTGCCCTCCTGGCTCCCCTTGGTGGCAAACTCGTAGTGGTCGTCAGCTGAAGACGACGAGGAGGAGATAGAGTCGCTGGCCGGTGAGGTGCTCCGGGCATTGGAGGACTTGGCACTGCTATAGTTGTGGTCCTCCTTGGGGTCTCCGCTGACCACGGGAGAGCCGCACGACGGCTCGCTCTCAGTCCGCATCCGGCAGCTGGTGATGCCATTCCTGCAGGGTGAGGACATGGGGAGGGATGGGAGACAGAGAGGGAACACAGATTAGACCTCTGACAGAGACATCTGCTGTGCAAGCGCCAGCCACCCACTGAAAAACCTGCACAACAGGTGGATCTGGAGACAGGGCCCTAAATCCTGACGCATGGGTCTTTATTGCCAGTCTCCTGTCCCTGGCCCTTCACTCGATGTGTGTGGTTGAGCCATCAAAACAATCAATGCTCTTCCAAAGTGACAGCGGTGGATGCTCTCTCTCTTACATTAGACCATAAAAATCCAGCTGTGCGTGCTTTTGCATAGCCGATGATTCCACAGAGCCAGACACCGCCAGAGGATGGTGGCTGGAGACTTCAGAGCAAAGGTACACTCTCTTCCAAAGCTGCTGCATTAGGACGCATTTGTCAGAAAGCTAAATCCAGTGTTCAGCAAAGAGATACCTGCCATGCGGTGACAGCTACTCACTCACATCCCCTCCCTCCCTCATTCAATCTACCAAGATTCACCGAGCACCTAATAGAAATATGTGACCTCAGGGAGGAGCCAGGGATGCATACATGGCTGGATCACAGACAGAAGCTGTCGAAAAGATGCTACAGTCCATCAAAGCAAGTCCATGGCAGATCACAAAGAGCAGCGAGCTGCCATCTCTGGAACTCATCACAGCTGGACGCCTTGCTGTGCCCGCCCAAATGATCGCGTTTAACCCTATAAAGTGTACCGCAGTGTCCTTGTTTCCAGACCAGAAACTGGACCTAGAAAGGTGAGTGAATTCATGAAAGTAGAGCTTAGCTTGGAATCAAAATCCGACAGTAGCTGGGGAGATGGCCCAATGGAATAAGTGCTTGCCTGGCAAGTGCAGAGGCCTGAGTTCAATCCCCGCTTCCACCGAAAAAAAAAACCAAAACAAACAGTGACTTTAATGGGGCTGGGGAGATGGCTCAGTGGAATAAGTGCTTCTCTGGCGAGCACAAGAGCCTGAGTTCAATCCCCAGTTCCACCAAAAAAAAAGAAAAAAAAAATCTGACCATCAAGGTTGTGGGCTCAGCAGCACAGACCAACTTTTTCTTGCAATTTAGCCCCCCTTGTAGCACTCACCGGACCTTAGACTGTTTTTGTGTCTGGGGAGAGTACTCCACTTCCTGACAACCAAAGCAGGAAGAATAACTACATCTACCTCCCAGGATGCTTGGGCTGAGCTCAGACAAGTGCCTGGCATGGAGCAGCGGCTGAAGGCTTCCCCTGGTCAGGTCACACCACACACTCCCTGCGCCTGGGGAGCAGCTGTCTTTTTGGCGTGTTTGGCACATGGCTGCGAGCAGGCAGAAGCCAGAGGGATGCATCCCTGGAGGAGGGAAGGGCTGCCTGCTGCTGGATGGGAGAGTAGGGGGCTAGGCACGCTCTGAGGAGGACGGGGCATCTGATGTGGAAGTGACGGCTGAGGCCAACGAGCTGTTCTACATCTTGGAGCCTCTGTAACTTCATGAACCTTATAGGGCTGTGTGAAGAGGAAATGACAAGTCCCAGGCACTTGTCAAGGAAGGTCTGCCCTGGTGCACGAGAATTCTTCCCTGCCATCCCCTCTGGCTGTTGTATCCCTGTGTCATGGTTTGAAGTTTTTGCAAGGTGAACAATATAGTATAGGACACATTTTATAATATTAGTTTATAAGGAATCACCCAAGAATCATATACAAGAACAGTAGATCTATGCACACATTGAACACTAAAGACTCCAGCTAAGGGCCTGGATACTAGTATCCTGTGTGAGTCCAGCTGAAGACCTAGAGCTCATAGAAATGCCTCCCGCAAGTCCAACTGGAGGCCTAGAGCCCAGAGCAAAGTCTCGTGCAGGCTTATTTCATAGATCTGTGCTGGAAAGGCCCAGAGGTCAGTGGTGGAAGCTAGGAAGCTATGCCAGGTGGATGAAGGATCTGTGCTAGCAGGCTGAGGGATCTGAACTAGAGCTAGGAAAGGGCGCTCAAGGTAAGCACCAGAGCTCCCCCAAAGTACCACAGCCACCCTCAGCAACAGTGAGGTCCTGAGCTCCTCCAGTGATGAGAGAAGCTGAGTTCCCATCAGGAAAGCCAATGCCATAAGCTTCTCCATGAGGCTGCGCAGTGCACCATCTTCCCCTCCGGAGGCACGAAGCGATGCTCAAAATGAGGACCCAAGCTTTAGCTTCTCCAGAGTTCATCGGGAAAGCCAGCATGACGAGGTCCTCCAGCAGAACAGCCTGAGAGAGCTAGCAGCTTCCAGCAGCTCCAACAGCTTCTCTAAACAGCATCCCTAACAAGTGTTTTTGGCAGCTTTTCCATTCTGCCTTTATGCTGCTGGCAGCAATCCTCAGGTGGGCCTCCCGAACCCAGCACCACGCTAGTTTAATTCAGCTGGGTATAATAAGTTGCCTACCTGTTAGAAACCCACTACACTCTGTTGTGCTCTTCTGGGGCAGCCTTGTTTTCTCCTTCTAGCCTGGTCAAGAGGCTCATGGGAATGCAGCATGAAGAGCAAAGAGGCCCTAATGAGAGACTTCCTCAAGGGTTGGCTGGGCACACAGCCTTGAGCTTTGGGGACTGGCCCCTCCATGCCCATGCTTTGCAGATTTCCTGTTACTTAGGCACGTGAAAATAGCTACAATATGGTTACTTGGAGATGCCATCAAACACAAAACTTGATAAATGTGCAGCAAGCTCTTCTCTGTCATTAAGGTCAATGAATGGAAGTCTTGTAAAGTCTTATTTTATAGTTCTCCTGATCATTTTTGTTGAAGAGAACTAGTGGGAAATACAAAAATAATTAGTTGGGTTGGGGCAATAGGTCGGTGGTCTAAGCTCCTGCCTGGCACGTACAAGGACCTGGCAGTGTGAGGACTGGGTTTGATTCCCAGTGCAGCATGCTGTGCCAGCCTTGGAACCCAGGTGTATCGTGTGCGTCACCGAAACCGGGAACGGTGGCACACACTTGTAATCCCAGAGCTGGGGAGGCTGAGATAGGAAGATCACTATGAGTCTGACCTGCATAGCGAGACCTTGTATCAAATAAAAATAAATACAAGATTTTAAAAAATTAAAATGAAATAATAATTAGTTGACTAAACTAGGATCAAACAGTTTCCTAGTGAGCCCAACTTTTATGTGTGGACAAGTTAGCCGAGGTATGTTTGACTTTTTACAAATCAATTCAGCTCTGAATGCTCATCTTTTGTTTTAACTTGGGACTTAAGATTGGCTTGAACATCACAGTTTAGAGTGTGACCCTTTTCTGAACACACAGGGCGAAGGAGAAAACCATGACTGGGAGAGGAGGCAGTAAGACAAATGCCCCCCAAAGTCACCTCCTCGTGAATCTAAGTGAAGTTACACACTGCACTTTGTGTTCTATTCTCTTCCCTACAAGTTTGAAATTTTCTTAAATAAAAAGTTTGAAGGGGGCGGTGTGGAAAAATACCAGAATCAAAGTAATGACATTGAAGTTTAGCTTTGTCCTATTATAAGAGGAAAAATTTTACACATGAGAACTTGTTTATCTTAAATAGGGCAACATGCAATATTAGGTGATATAGACCTGCTGGGCTTACAGAACTTTCTTCAGAAGGAGAGCTCATGAATGACAAGAGAAAAAACAAGGAAACTACTTCATGGCCCCTGACGTTGTGCTGTGGAGGGTAGGGTCTCTGGCACCCTGAGAATCCCGCTGCTGGGGACAATGAAGCCGCAAACCACCTGGGAACAACTTCTGCCTCCATCGTCTCCAAATAAATAAATAGAAACACACAGAAACAAACCTAAGATGTGTCTGAAGTGGCCTCACTATTTTTAAAAGGCAGTTCAAGTGGGAATCTGCAATACCACCCCCCTTCCCTGAAGACAGCAAAGTAATCTTTAACATTCACAGTATTTCTGGATGAAAACAAACGTACGGCTAGAACTTCAGAGAGTGAAGATTAAAGTGCAAATATATTTCTTTCTCATTTGACGAAATTAACTTTCCCAGAGATTTTAGAGTGGGCTCACAATCCATAAATTACACACAAAGCTCAGCAGGAAGTGACAAGCTCCTTCCATTATTAATAACGTGGCGTAAGGTGATGCGTGATGGCGCAGGCCAGCTGCACTGAGCTGGTGTCAAATGCTTCCCGCTGCAGGAATTGTCATTACAGGACACCGAATGCTTGAAAGGAGCCAGCCATCCTGAACATGTTGGAAGGTAAATTTCTAGCCACCTCCTCAAATAACCATTCATTAGCATTAACATGTGGTACATCTGAAAGGCCTGCAATTTTTCAGCGTTAGCTACACTTACACATCATGATACTCACCGTGAACATAAATTAGCACGAATGAAAGGAAAGCTGATTTTACTAGGGCCTTAAGAGCTTAAAGCGCATGGTTCCGCAAAACCATTAATCTCAAGTAAAATCTGATATTCATCCTCCAGTCACTAAGACGGGAAGTACTGGGCACAGAAAGTGAGAACTCACACTAGTTCAAGCCAAGAGCAAGTGATGTTTGGAACAAGCAAGTCGAGGTCTCGGTTCATGCTTCGACAAGGCCACTTTGCTGCTTTTTCCTACAACTTAATTACTCGCTCCATTACAATTAAATGGCATGTGTTGATACCACCCTTTACTTGTTGTAGGAGGGTTCCCTCTGGAACTGGTGGCTTTCAACTTCAGGCTATTATTTGGCGTAGTGGTCCTCTCAGGGTATTGCCAAATGTGGAAGGCAGACACAGTCCATAGGATTACAGAAAGGAAGAGACTGGAGGGACTGAAGCGTGGTTCACCGAAACCAACCACAAGGAAGAAAAACAAGGCCAAGAAGGGAGGAAAAGAGGCATGCACCTCTAGCCAGGGGGCAGAAAAGACTTCTGAGAGGTACTTATCTGACCACAATAAAAAGGATCCTGGTAAAAAAAAAATATGGGGACATATTTTAAAGTCATTGCTGGGTTACCTAGAAAATAAAGGGAATTTCAAATAGCCCTCTAGACACAC